TGGACCACCTGGCATGCCTGGCCGTCAAGGACCGGCAGGACCACCAGGCGCTCCTGGCAACCCTGGAGCTTCCGGTGCCACCGTTCCATTTTACTGCGCCTGTCCACCACGTACAGCTGCCTACAGTACTGCTGCGTCTTCTGGCACTTCATCTCGAGGAAGTAGTGTTACTGTTACGAAGACTACTGAAACCACCTACAAGAGTGGCGGCAATCAATACGGGACAGGCGTTTACGGTAGTGGAGCCTACAGCAGCGGAGTGTACGGAGGGGGCAGCTCTTATAGTTCCAGTGGCTCATTAGGCCATAGTTCCGGTTACACAGGAGGAAATGCACTCAAAGCAGGTGGAGGGGCTGCTTACACTAACTTGGAAACATATGAACGTCCAGCAGGTCGTGGTAAAGGTATTGTTACAACAAAGACAGAAACCAAAACTACAACGATAGAGCACCATTAATTACTGTGGTCCAAAAAGTTTAACCAGGAGCTAGATGTAAAACCACTACAGCCTCACTCAAAACCGTGAAAACATTAAGGAATTAGTTCTGTAGTTCCGTTAACCATTAAAAAAACGTCACAGATAAATGATAAAATGACTGTTGAAATAAAACTTTTACCGATTCTGCATTTACAGCAAAATGTATCTTGGTAAAATTGAGAATATTTTACAGTTTGCCTTTTCCTAAACTGGCATATCTAACAGTAAACAGTTTGTCAGAACTCACTTGAGAAAGAATAATAATAAAGCTTTCAGTGCAACATTCTAAAACCGCTTTGAACTCTTGAGCAAACAATGATTCCTTCTGGACCAACCAGTAACAGAGAGGACCCGCAAGTTACTTCATCTGAGTACATTCAAATACTAGATAAAAAAACGCAATGAATTAGAAATAAAGCGAAGATTTAACAAGTAAACTTATCTACATTTTGCTAACTCTCTCCACTAACCTGAAATACCAATCTACACCTTCCCTCAAAACAGTGATTAGTTCCGCCACGACAACTACAAAGGTATCAAAAGTACTTTTTGCAACTGCTACCGAATCACCGTAGCTCCTACTTCAACAACTGAATATAAACATTTACATTTTGGATTGGTAATTACTAGTTAAAGGGGTTATTTAGACTGCTACCAA